GGGAGGGGAGGGAGGGGGAGAGAGGGAGGGGAGGGAGGGGGAGAGAGTAAGAATAAGAGAACAAACAGAACAGGGTGTTGATAATTATGGGCTTAATGCAGGATGAGGAGGAGCAAGGAGTGGGCTGTTACTTCTTCATTGGCTGAGAGTTCAGGCTAGCTCATTGGAGGCGCACCATTCAAAGTTCCTGCCATTCACAGGGATTGGAGGTGATGGTTCCTGCGCCAGTCAGTGGTCATGGACCTGAGCTCCCGGAAGAGAAGCACTCTGGCACCATCTTTACCAACAGGGGGCACCAGGGGAAACTATGGGATTTTACTTCACATATTTTATTGTTCAACCATACCAAATTTTGTTAACATACGAACATAAAAGTGTATGTTGGATTAAGTGTTATCAACGTGGGTGCTAAATTTGGGTGGAGAAACACATATATTGGATGTGAATCTACCTTTTAGTGGGCAACCAGTCTTATGCTAGACTATTGCTTCATGCTACCTTGGAATCCCAACATAACTTCAACTCCTAAATCAGCAAATTCTCTTATTTTTCTATTCTCCTCCCAGATCCTTATTTTTCTCTTCCCTTTCTTCTGCATCTGTTTTATTAATAAGTAATAGTAGGAAGTGGAGGATGAGAATAGATGAAGCTTGATTTTGCAGAGTCTGAAATAAATTGCTTAAAATAGCACTCCTGGACAAGATCCTGGAGTTCAATCCCTGGCACTGGGGAGGAGGAAAAATCTGTACCCTAAAGAAAGCAGAATAAAAACCACAATGGTTGGGCTTGGCCCCATCCCCAGGGCAAAATGCTACTGAGCTGAACAAGATACTTGCAGAAATGCTATACCAGGCTGCCAAGCGCCAACAGCTTGGGCTTTCCAAAATGGAGTCACCAGAGAGCTTGTCTCGTTTGGCCCAGCTTCACCAAATATGGCTGCATGATCTTGGACAAATTGCCCTCTCTTAGCCTCAGTTTCTCCATTCTTAAAATGGAAATTACAGCCTCTAATTCCTGGGGTTGTTGAAAGAATAAAATGGCACAGCAATGATCGCGTTAAGCACAAAGACAAACACATAAAATGATGTAAAGACCACAACCTCCCTCCCAGCGTCAGCAGGCCTATCACACCCTCTTCCGGGAAACCCTTCACTTCAGTCTTCCCTCTGCCAAACTCGGATCCTTCCGCGTCGCGTCACTTCCGGGGGACTCAGGACGTGGCTAACCAAAATACCCGGATACAACTGTCATGGCTGCCCCCAGTGAGGCACCGCAATGGAGATCGAGTCAAGGGTTGCCCAGAAAGCGTTCAGAGTTTGGGGTTTCAAGGAAGTCTGTCAAGAGAAAAAGGATGAGGATGCCGGGTAGCAGGGTGCCCAGGAACTGCGTTTCCGCACTTCCTGTTAACTTGCCAAGTTTTAATAGAGAAGTCTCCCCTTTTGACAGGGTGGGGCTTCTCTTTTCACCCAGGCTTTCTTTGTGTGCTGAGTTTTTGTTCCCGTCACCCCGCGGCCCTGGATCAGCGCAGCGGTAGCCTGAGAGGAATAGGCGGGTCAGGCTCTGGGGAGGTGGAGCGCGCCGAAGACTCCTGGGCGGGGGAAGCTAGGGGGACGCCTCGGAGTGCAGCCTCGAACTGCCGCCCCCTTTAAGTCCAGGTTCTTGTTTTAGCCTAGATACTCTTCACCACGGGGTGGTCTCAGTTGATCACAGGACTTGGGTTGGCTGACCATCCGCACTCAACCAGTCTGCCCTGCTCCAGATGGACCTTGATCCTAGGGAATGTCTAGGATGGTTATATTCCAGTGAGACTAGTTAAAAAAACAGAACAAAACAACAACAACAAAAACTTCAAACATAAGCATTACGTTTGGAATAATGGATAAAGTTCACAGTTGAGTCATGTGATAATTTTTTTCAAAGCTTTAAATTTGTATGTTCGTGCTTGTGAGATTTTTTTTTAAAGCATTCTTGTAATATATTAATACTGAAAATATTCAGGAAATTCTTTAATTTTGCTGCTACAAGTTATAATACAAAGACATCGGTTATTAATAAATAATTATTTAACTGCCAGAAGCGTCTGCAAATACAGCACTTCTAGCTATATTAATTTGAGTTACTTTTCCTTTGCAGGGTTTCCTATAGATTTTGTCATCAAATGAAACAGGAACAAATGTGAGTTGCTTCATCACCATTTCCTAGTAGTGACTTTTAAAGTACTCAACTATGTATCTGATGAATTCAAAGTCTCACTTGAAGCCATTTTTACTTGCCTGAAATATGTATTAAAGAGATAGGTCAAATACATATAGAATGTTACTTTTTTTTAAAAAATAGAAACAAAAATGGAGAAAATAAAACAGGTTAACTTTAAAGTGTGTTGTAATTTGGATGTTCACATAAAAGTCTCAAAAGTATAAGAGCTGACCTAAAAGGCTTTAAAAAGGAGAAAAGAAAGGTAGATCTTTACCTTTATTTGAATATCTCATTATTTGAACAGAAAATAACATGACTTTAGAAAGTACTTTGAATCTTTTTTTTTTTTACAATTAGGTACTATGTTCAAAGCACTAAGTTAGTAATGAATGAGAAAATACATAAATGCTTTAAAATACATGAAATAAATAATGAACAGTTATTATCTCATGTTTCTGGCCTAGTTATGTCTTGCTGTTGTACATATTAATGTCCAATACTTATGTTTATTTTTAAAAATATCTGTATTTTATATAGTTACAATATTTTAAAGAAAGCAAAAATAATCTGTTTATACATTTAAAATATCTGTTCCTTGTGTATGTCTCACTTAAGATTGTGCTTATTTATACATTTGCACCCATTAAAGTACTTCATAATGTGATGATCATAAATCACCTGGATTCTTTTTGTATGGTTTCTTACAGGTAGGTCTCCTGAGTTCTTTGTATAGCACAACCAGTGTTAATGTGGAAGATTTTGTTGTATTAATTAGTTTGAACATTTTACAAGTCTATTTATTTTTCCAGTATTTTATTTAAATAATTAGACGTGAGCTTTATGTAGTTAACAGTAGTTGTGAGATTATTGAAGATGACTTTATTAAATGTACAGTTTGATCTTAAGTAATTGGCATTTATGGAGCACATGCCATATGCCAATCTCTAAAATAAGTACTATACATAATTATCTTTTTTTTTTAAAGAGAGAGAGAGAGAGAGAGAGAGAATTTTAATATTTATTTAATGACACAACATCTTTGTTTTTATGTGGTGCTGAGGATCGAACCCAGGCCGTATGCATGCCAGGCGAGCGTGCTACCGCTTGAGCCACATCCCCAGCCCACATTATCTTACTTGAATATTTGCAGCAGCACTGTGAGTTAGGTTTATTGAATTTCTGTTTTAATGTATGGAGAAACCAAGGCAAAAGAGATTACATTCTTTGGCTGTGGAGCCAGGATCTTATCAACTTATTTTCAGTGATATCCCTTTCCCACCTTAAAACTAAACACTTTGGTAGAAGAAAAATGAAAATGTAACACAGACCTGAACTCTACCTACCGAACTTTATGAAGTAAAATAAGTGACTTAAACTCTTTGGATTTCATTTTCCTCATGTGTATTGAATAAACACTGAATTATTGTATTTTATTGAATTTTGAATCTTCTAGAATCCTTTAAACAGTGCTTTCACCATTGAATCCAAGGATTTCTCCCAAGCCCCTGATACTCCTCCTGGAAGTTTTGTTGTATCTCTGGTAGTGACAACTGTATGTCTATATTGCAGGGTCTAACTACATTGCAAGTTATCACTGATTTCAGGGATGTCAAAATAACATGTATCTTGGAATTAATGAGCTCTTTTTCAACCGTGATTCTGTGACATCTGCACATTTATAACATTGCTGGGTTATGTGCATTTCAACATAAACAATTTAAGATAAAACATAAGCTTTATGATAGTGGAAGAGTAGGAACCATTTTTATATTTTTCATATGCAAATACCCAATTTGCTAAATTATTTAAACAAGTCTTCATTTTGAAGTAGTATAGATACAATTTTTTAAAAAATTGTGTTTGACTTGAATTTGACATAAAATATAATAGTATCAATATTGCAAAAATATTTCACTACCATTTTTTGCATTCAAAAGTGAACTTTTATAATACAAACAGTATCTTTCTTTTCAATGTCATATGATGTTGGTTGTCAAGAAGTATGGGGGTGTCTTTGTTCCTTGAGAGATATTATTAAATTGAAATGCTGACATTTGAAGACTTAAACAAGGAAACTTGCTGGTTTTGTTTTTACACTAGCCAAAGAATAAGAACATTATTTCATATGTAGATATCTTCATTTTTTTAATATTTAATTTTTAGTTGTAGTTGGACACAATACTTTTATTTTGTTTATTTATTTTTATGTGGTGCTGAGGATTGAACCCAGGACCTCGCACATACTAGGTGAATGCTCTATGCTGAGCCACAATCCCAACCTCGAGATCTTCATTTTAAGAGAAGTTGAAAACACATTATTTGATAGCTTGTTGAATTTTCATGAGCATTATGGATATGAACAACATATAAATAGTATTAAAGATTAATGAGTTATGAATTTAAAACTATAATTGAAAGATATTTTGAAATATATGAAAAGGCATAGGATAGGTATATGATAATGTAACTAAAGAAATTATTACAGCATCTGTAATGAAGTGTTTCAGTTAGAACCAAGAAGGGTATGCAGAAATTATAGAGTTGTAAACTGTTCTCTGTAGATAATCAGCTGAGTGTTCTGCTGTGGCTAGAAAAACCAGCAACATGTGAGATATTATCAGGAAGGGATTGGGGAAATCAACAAAAAAAAATCTTACCCTCAAACAGCAGTTTGTTTAAACATGAGAAACCGAAAATTATTTTATATTGATAGATAGATCCAAAATGTCCAAACTCCTTTCAGTTGTTACATAACGTTACAATTATCATTTTCTTTGCATAATTCTGTAAACTAGATACGTTTATATACCTCACTTTAAAAAATTTAAATATAAAAGTCATTTATGTAGCTACTATAATTTCTGCCACTAAAATAAAATTCTGCATCACATGACAGCACATCATTACTAGGTGAACATTAACCACTAGCATCTTTGAATTTCCACCAACACTTCGCTTTTCTTAGGACCCCATTTTTACAGAAAATACAGTCTTATTCCTTTGTAAGTTACTGCCTATTCAGTAATGAAAAGGGAATAGTGTTCACTTCTGTTTTTATTTATTTTCCTTGAATAGAGTGTATAAATGTGTACTTTTCAGAATTCCCCAAACCCAAAGGGAATAAGACCAGTAGCCAAAAAGAAATTGTTGTGTCAGTTCAAATAATGTAATTCATTTTATGAGGTTTTTAAAGTCTTGTCAGTCAAAGTTTGGAGAGATGAAGAAGTGGTATGTATCAAGTTTGGAGCAAATATATTAATTGAAATATAACTAGAGAATATTTTAAGTACCTGAAGATTGCTTTGTGCTACCATAAAAAATTGGTATTTTAGCAGGACATGGTGATGCATACCTGTAATCTTAGCTATGCTACTTGGGAGGCTGAGGCAAGAGGATGGTGAGTTTGAGGTCAGCCTGAGCAATATGGGGAGATCCTTTCTCAAAAATATAATTTTAAAAAAATGTTTACTATTTCCATGCCTTTTCCCTTCATCTTTCTGTTTCTCTGTAAATGAATCATAGAACACACCATGTTGAGTTCACCTAAGTCTTTATCTTAGTAACTAATTCTCTTGGAGGTCACCAGTCAAGCCAGGAGAATAGTAATAATGAGTTGGTATTTATTGCACCACCTGCTTCTGGGAATCTATAACCAGAAGGAGAAGAAAAGCTAAAGAGAATGTATATTGGATTAGAAACCTAGCATGATCTGTCACCTCTGCCTGGAGGCAACTATTCAACGTTAGAGACTGGACTTGGCTTACTTGGCAAAGAATAGATGGGTGAGAGTCCTCCATCTGTTTTGAGAAAAACCATGCTTTCTGTTCTGATTATTTGACCCTGACACTGTCACTTGAAGTGATGGGCTAATGTTCCAGTTAATAGGCCACCTATGAAGCCCTCTATGTAGTTATTTTAGGGCGTGCTTGGACAATGGTTTTAGTTTCCTTGTACAAAAAGTCTTTTCCATTGCCATTCTTATGTACTTAAAAAGACACACTTTTATCTTCTACATATTTAAAATAATGCCAGTAACTTCTTACTTTTATCTTGCATTTAATGTAATTCTACATATACTACTCACATAAATGATATTTCCATCACAACTCTGAACTTGGAGTTTTAAGTTACTCAATTTCAACAGAAAAGGTAACCTGTGGTGAATGGGGATTTTTCCTAGAAACTCCTCTCTTCTTGAAAGAGAAGAATCACACACTGGAGAAAAGTAGTAGCGTGACATGTTTATGTTCATGACTGTACCTGATCAATCTTTTTTAATTCCACATTTTATTGATGCATTATAATTGTACTTATTGATGGTATTTGTTGTTACCTGTTTGTACATGAACACAACATAATAAATAATATAATTTGGCCAATATCATTCACCAGTACTTCCCCCTTCCCTCCCTGTCTCTTGCCCCTTATACCTGGTAATTCTGTTTCCTGTTCTCTATAGGAGTTCTTTTATTTTTCATAATCCCCCAAATCTTGGGCTTAAGTGATCCTCTTGACCTAGTCTAGTTGGGACTATAGGTATGGGTCACTTCGCCCAACTGCAAGAGTTCTTTTTAAATACCTTTTACTTACCTCAGGCTTTCCCTTTTTTGCTGGTCAAGTCCCCCACCCTTTCATTATCAAAAGATTATTGTGCCTCCCATTTTCTTGGAGAAAGTAGCAACCATAAGATAGAAACTTTCAAATTAATGCCACCAAACCTTCAAACTTACTTCTTTGAAATCCACTCTTAGTCCTTCCCTTATTTTACAATGGAAAGGTGATCCTCTTCTGGTCCCAGACTCTGGATTCCTTCTCATTACTGCTTTTTTTTTTTTTTTTAGCACTTTTGCATCTTAATCTGTGGCTCCTTCACCTTGACATTTAAGCATTCTCAAGTCTTTTCCATCTTAGAAGGAAAGAAAACCTTCTATATAAATTTGCCCTCGATTCTGTTTCTTGCATCCTTTCATGGACATGGCTCATGAAAACATTTTTCTACCTGTGGTTTCTTAGTTTGTTTTTCCTGTATATTCTTCAACCAACTGCAATATTTTACTTCAATGAAAATACTAGTTTTAAATGTCAACAACTACCACAGTGTTTCTAAATCTACTGAATACTTCTCAGGCCTTATCTGACTTAACCTCTGTTCAACTGATGACAGTTTAATCAATTTTCTTAAAAATTTATCTTCCTTGGGCTTTGCTGACATCATTGTTTCCTAGTGGTAAATAAATTTTCTCTGGCCATTCATCCTGTTTCTTTTGTCTTTTTCTTTCTTTCTTTTTTTCATAGTTGTAAATGGACAGCATGCCTTTATTTTATTTGTTTATTTTTAATATGGTGCTAAGAACCAAACATAGTGCCTCACACATGCTAGGCAAGCGCTTTGCCACTGAGCTATAGCCCCAGCCCCTTGTCCTGTTTCTTAAGGGCTTCTCATCACTAATTCATTCTCTCATTCATATATTTATAAAGCATTCACACACCCAGGCAGCATACTACATTCTGGTGGCAGAATTTGAAAGTGTCTAGACTTTCCAGAAAAATTTATTTCCAAACAGCCACTCAGAATTTGGCATACCATTGTCAAGGGCCTCACAGAGTGCACAATGCCTGTTTATCATTCTGAATTAAAAAGCCTTGCCTCAAGACCTCCAACCTATTTTAGTAG